GAGTGACAGAATGGATAAAACATCAGGATCCATCAATATGCTGTCTACAAGTGACACATCTTAGAAACAAAGACATAAATTTATTAAAAATAAAGGATGGAAAAAAAAATCAAACAAATACCTACCAAAAAAGAGCAGAAGTGGCAATATTAATCTCAGATAAAATAGACTTTAAAACAAAATCCATGATAATAGACAAAAAAAGACACTATATAGTGATTAAAGGGACAATCCCTCATGAAGACATACCATAATAAACTTCTACCCACGCAATGACATGGCTCAAAAATACATAAAACAAACTCTAACAACACAGAAAAGAGAAATTGACAGTTCCACAATAATAGTAGGAGACTTGAACACACCACTGTCAGTAAAGGACAGAAAACATCTAGAAAGAAACTCAACAAAGATACAGAAGACCTAAAGGGCACCATCAGCCAACTTGACCTCACAGACATATGTAGACCATTCCACCCAACAGCTGCAAACTACACATTCTTTTCCAACGCACAGGGAACATTCTCCAGAATAGACCACATCTTAGGCCACGGAGCAACCCTCAACAAAATTCAAAAATATTGAGATAATACAAGGTATATTCTCTGACCACAATGCATTAAGTTAGAAATTAACAACAGGAAGAGCAAGAAAAAAAATCAATTACATGGAAACTGAATAACACCTTGCTTACAAACCACTGGGTAATAGAAGAAATGAGAGATGGAATCAAAAAATTCCTAAAATCTAACAAGAATGAAAATACACCATACCAAAACCTTTGGGACACAGCAAAGGCAGTCCTCAGAGGACAGTTTACAGCAATAGACACACACATTAAAAAAGAAGAAAAGCAGAAAGTCAAAACATTAACTACACAACTCGAACAAATAGAAAAGAACAGCAAAAAAGCCCACAGCCACCAGAAGAAAGGAAACAATATAGATCAGAGCAGAAAATCAATCAATGTAATCCACCATATAAATAAAAGAAAAGAAAGGAATAACACAATCATCTTAATTGGTGCAGAAAAAGCATCTGACAAAGTCCAACACCCATTCTTGATAAAAACTCTCAATAAAATAGGTATAGAAGGGAAATTTCTCAACATAATAAAGGGCATCTATGCAAAACCAATGGCCAACATCTTTCTTTATGGAGAGAGACTGAAAACATTCCTCTTGAGAACAGGAACAAGACAAGAATGCCCTTTATCACTACTCCTATTTAACTTTGTGCTGGAAGTCCTAGCTAGGGAAATAAGGCAAGAAAAAGAAATAAAGGGCACCCAAATTAGTAATGAAGAAGTTAAACTGTCCCTGTTTGCGGATGATATGATACTATACGTAGAAAACCCAAAAGGCTCCAAGAGAAATCTACGGGAACTAATAGAAAGCTTCAGCAGAGTATCAGGATACAAGATAAACATACAAAATTGGTTGGATTCTTATACACCAATAAAGAGAATGATGAAAAGGAAATCAGGAAAACAATACCATTTATAATAGACCCTAAAAAATAAAATACTTAGAATAAATCTAACCAGGGATGTAAAAGACCTATACAAAGAAAACTACAAAACACTACTGCAAGAAACCCAAAGGGATCTACATAAATGGAAAAACATACCACACTCATGGATACGTTGACTCAACATCATGAAAATGACAATTCTACCCAAAGCAATTTACAAATACAATGTGATCCTGATCCAAATACCAACAACATTCTTTAAAGAGATGGAAAAACTAATCATTAACTTTATATGGAAAGGGAAGAAGTCCCAGATAAGTAAAACGGTACTGAAGAAGAAGAATAAAGTAGGAGGACTCACACTACCTGACCTCAGAACCTACTGTACAGCTATGGTAGTGAAAACAGCCTCCTACTGGTACAACGATAGATACATTGACCATTGGAACAGAATTGAGAACCCAGATGCAAATCCATCCACTACGGTCACCTGATCTTCGACAAGGGCCCAAAGTCCATCAAATGGGGAAAAGACAGTCTTTTTAACAAATGGTGCTGGCAAAACT